CAGTATGAATGCCTGTAGAATGCTGGGGCACCCACCACAGTATGAATGCCTGTAGAATGCTGGGGCACCCACCACAGTATGAATGCCTGTAGAATGCTGGGGCACCCACCACAGTATGAATGCCTGTAGAATGCTGGGGCAACCACCACAGTATGAATGCCTGTAGAATGCTGGGGCACCCACCACAGTATGAATGCCTGTAGAATGCTGGGGCACCCACCACAGTATGAATGCCTGTAGAATGCTGGGGCACCCACCACAGTATGAATGCCTGTAGAATGCTGGGGCACCCACCACAGTATGAATGTCTGTAGAATGCTGGGGCACCCACCACAGTATGAATGCCTGTAGAATGCTGGGGCACCCACCACAGTATGAATGCCTGTAGAATGCTGGGGCACCCACCACAGTATGAATGCCTGTAGAATGCTGGGGCACCCACCACAGTATGAATGCCTGTAGAATGCTGGGGCACCCACCACAGTATGAATGCCTGTAGAATGCTGGGGCACCCACCACAGTATGAATGCCTGTAGAATGGCTGGGGCACCCACCACAGTATGAATGCCTGTAGAATGCTGGGGCCACCCACCACAGTATGAATGCTGTAGAATGCTGGGGCACCCACCACAGTATGAATGCTGTAGAATGCTGGGGCACCCACCACAGTATGAATGCCTGTAGAATGCTGGGGCACCCACCACAGTATGAATGCCTGTAGAATGCTGGGGCACCCACCACAGTATGAATGCCTGTAGAATGCTGGGGCACCCACCACAGTATGAATGCCTGTAGAATGCTGGGGCACCCACCACAGTATGAATGCCTGTAGAATGCTGGGGCACCCACCACAGTATGAATGCCTGTAGAATGCTGGGGCACCCACCACAGTATGAATGCCTGTAGAATGCTGGGGCACCCACCACAGTATGAATGCCTGTAGAATGCTGGGGCACCCACCACAGTATGAATGCCTGTAGAATGCTGGGGCACCCACCACAGTATGAATGCCTGTAGAATGCTGGGGCACCCACCACAGTATGAATGCCTGTAGAATGCTGGGGCACCCACCACAGTATGAATGCCTGTAGAATGCTGGGGCACCCACCACAGTATGAATGCCTGTAGAATGCTGGGGCACCCACCACAGTATGAATGCCTGTAGAATGCTGGGGCACCCACCACAGTATGAATGCCTGTAGAATGCTGGGGCACCCACCACAGTATGAATGCCTGTAGAATGCTGGGGCACCCACCACAGTATGAATGCCTGTAGAATGCTGGGGCACCCACCACAGTATGAATGCCTGTAGAATGCTGGGGCACCCACCACAGTATGAATGCCTGTAGAATGCTGGGGCACCCACCACAGTATGAATGCCTGTAGAATGCTGGGGCACCCACCACAGTATGAATGCCTGTAGAATGCTGGGGCACCCACCACAGTATGAATGCCTGTAGAATGCTGGGGCACCCACCACAGTATGAATGCCTGTAGAATGCTGGGGCACCCACCACAGTATGAATGCCTGTAGAATGCTGGGGCACCCACCACAGTATGAATGCCTGTAGAATGCTGGGGCACCCACCACAGTATGAATGCCTGTAGAATGTTGGGGCACCCACCACAGTATGAATGCCTGTAGAATGTTGGGGCACCCACCACAGTATGAATGCCTGTAGAATGCTGGGGCACCCACCACAGTATGAATGCCTGTAGAATGCTGGGGCACCCACCACAGTATGAATGCCTGTAGAATGCTGGGGCACCCACCACAGAACGTTGCTCTCAATCTGAATCTGGAACGTCTTCTTCTACTCTACATTCTAAACAAACATCTAGTTTATGTTAAGAAGCAGCCCTGTTTACCGGCTAAACACAGGCAGGCCTGACCTGCAACCAGCCAGTCAGCCCTGCAGTCAAACGCACAGCCAGCGTCCTTCTATACTATCTGTTGCATCTTAGCCTATGCCACACTGATAATGACAGTGCTCATCCATATATTTATATATTCTTATTTAATTCCTTTACTTAGAGTTGTGTGTATTAGGTTTTTGTTGTGGAACTGTTAAATATAGCTTGCTAGATATTACTGCACTGTCGGAAACAAGAAGCACAAGCATTTTGCTACACTCGCAATAACATCTGCTAACCATGTGTGTCAAGGCGTCAGTGTAATGCAGTAGGCGAAGTCAGGTGCAGGACACAGAGCTAATCAAAAGGGGTACTTTACTCGAAGGTAAAAGAATGAACAACAACCTCCACGCAGGGAGGGAACGACAACCAAAACATGAACAAACATGCACAACACACAGTGTGAGACAGAGGGTTAAATAGGGAAGACATAACTACATGATGGGAAACAGGTGTGACCAATGAAGACAAAACAAGTCGAACATAGATACATGGATCGGTAGCAGCTAGTACTCCGGTGACGACGAACGCCGAAGCCAGCCCGAGCAAGGAGGAGGGGCAGCCTCGGCTGAATCCGTGACCATGTGTATGTGACCAATACATTTGATTTGATTTGAAATAGCACCCTGTTCCTATTTAGGGCACTAGGGATGGCTAACTCTTGAAATCACTTCTGAAACCACAGATTTAGGTAAAACAGCTTTTCGTTTGTTTGCACTTTACTTATGGAACAATCTTCAGAATACCCTACTGTTTGCTCTTACAGTCTCCAAAGTGCCATTTTTGGTGGTGGTATATCACGCATGGCTCCCTTGTAAAAGACACCTTGGTCTCAATGGGACCACCCTGCCTAAATAAAGGTTCAATAAAATCATATAAATAGAATCGTTTTGCCCAGGACCCAAGTAGTGATCCCAAATGGTACCATATTCCCTATTTAGTGCCCTACTTTTGACCAGGGCCCATAGGTTAAAAGTAGTGCACTATATAGGGATTAGTGATATGTAGTTCGCGAACGATTCGTTCTTTTTGAACTACTCTTTTTACTGACTCGAGAGTCATGATTCGTTTTTCTCAATGACTCCTTCATTTTAGTCAGTCCTTTGACCTGCTAGTGCTGGCTGCAATGAGTCCTACAGCAGGATTACAAGCCAATTTATGCTTGATTCCGATAATGTGGTTGGAGACCCTGTATGGAGGGTGTGACGCAATTGCGGAGCCTCCAGAGGCACTCAGAGGCCAAATTGAGCTCCTTACCGCATCGATTTTATGACAATGTGGAGGGCGCCATATAGCTCTGCATTGACATGATTGGTTGATGGTGGGTGGGGGTGGGAAGTCCTGTATAAACACAAACTCACTTCCTTGACAACTTCCTTCACAACAGCTCTGCTCAACAGCTCGGCGCTGCTGTGTGAAGCGCAAGAAGTATGAATGCCCTGACTTCTGCAGAGGCCGTATCACCGTAAATGCTGCACGGCCAATGCAGATATCGGACTGACCATGCAGCACCTTTAACACACGCTCCTCTGGCTCAGCGGCTCGAGTTTATACCTCAGTGCTCCAGAGACGTGCTCCGACCACCAACTGTCTGTCATATGCGCGCAGAAAATAGATAATGTGAAGAAACCTACATGTTTAGAACTGATAATTTATCGCATGGTGCAAGTATGAATGCATTTAATTGATTATTGAATGTTTTGATTGACACAGTTTTGTACAACCAAAACATACACAGCCTCTGCTCAACAAACTCAAACTCGAGAACTCATCTTTTAGGGGGGGGGGGGGGGGTTGCAGTTCGCTAACGACTTTCCCACGTTGCCTGGCTACCCACCCAGACTACTTGCTCCGGCCCAAACGCTACACCACGCCCACGGACGTTACTTCTCCGCAGTGAGAAGTATGTAGTGAACGACAGAGCAGGCTACTAATCACCCGGCAGTCAAGCAATGCATTCCGCCAAGAGTCGTTCACAATCTAGTCCGGTTTCAAATGTATCAATAAATAATCTTATTTGTATGCCTAGCAATCAACAAATGTACATTGTTTAAAGCACATGTTTACAAGTCTCAGTCACAAACGACAGCTCCAATAAGCCCCCTATGGTGAACGACATGTGAACGAGAGGCTTGTAGAATCATTACTCTTTCGAGTTTTCAGTTTAATGTTCGCCGGTAGGGGGTCCTGCGTGCTCAGAACATTACTGACTTAAATGAACGAAAGATTAGTTATTTTGACTGAATGAGTCTAAAAGATCTTAGTTAGTAAAAAGAGGCGAACTTCCCATCACTAATAGGGATCTTTTGTTTTGGGAATTTGGGGTCCTACAGGACAAGGGTTTGGACCAGAGCCGAACCAGAAGACCAAAGGAACAACAAAGCACTGAGGTTCTAAGGGCCATTATGACACCGGAGATCTTTGAAACAACAACCGGATCCTTTCAAATAGCTCTGTACATGGATATGAAACCAGTTTTATATGCAGCAGATTGTGATTGGGTAACATTGTCACCTTGAAAACAGAGAGGCTTGAAATAAATGGGTGATAAAAAGTGTTGAGAGTATTTTTTGCATGGTGAGTGATGGGTGCTGTAAGAGCAGGTGCCATGGACAGACTGTGTGTGTGGCCTGCTCTAGTCCTTACCTGACGGCTGAGCTAATTCCCTCTGACTCTGATCTCTCCTTAACAACACAGGTGTGTTTGACCGCAGAGTGAGAGGTAGAATGAGAGAGAGAGAGAGTGTGTGTGTATATGTGTTTGTGTGTGTATGTGTGTGTGTGTGTGTGTGTGTGGTTGCACGGATTTAAAGGCCAAAAAAACAACTTACAAACACAGATATCAGCTCTACGCCAGAAGCTCGATTAAGCACAAACGATATCTCATTGCACTTACTCTTTCTACCTATCTCTCTCTCTCCTCACAGCTCATTCATTCACTAGCAGCAATAGACGCCTTTCTAATTTAAGCACTGGTTAGTAGAGTCCATAGGATTTAAACTGATTCCAATTCAGGCACTGGTCACAGTATGCAGGATTTAAGCCAATCACAGCCCAGCAGGTTGCCTGTCTGATCCTGATTACCTGGCAGGTACAACAACACTCTCCTGTCCTGTCCTCTCCTCCCCTCTTCCATCCTCTCCTCTTCCTCTCCTCTCCTCTCCTCTCCTCTCCTCTCCTCTCCTCTCCTCTCCTCTCCTCTCCTCTCCTCCTCTCCTCTCCCTTCCCTCCTCTCCTCTCCCTTCCTCCTCGCTCCACTCATCTTTCCTCCTCTCCTCTCCTCTCCTCTCCTCTCCTCTCCTCTCCTCCCTCCTCTCCTCTCCTCTCCTCTCTCCCTCTCCTCTCCTCTCCTCTCCTCTCCTCTCCTCTCCTCTCCTCTCCTCTCCTCTCCCTCTCCCTTCCTTCCCTCCTCTCCTCTCCCTTCTCTCCCTTCCCTCCTCTCTTCTCCTCTTTCCTCCTCTCCTCTCCTCTCCTCTTCCTCTGCTCCCACTCAATCTTGCCTCCTC